AGTGAACGGCAAGAGTACCTGGGAGCAGGAGCCGTGGTATGGCACATCGTACCGAGTGGAGAAATTCGATAAGGACTTTATCGCTCAGGTATGCTGGTCATGATGCTCCCAGATGCATTGACTTATGATAGTAGGCTCAAGGTCCGAACGACATTCCTGAGCTTTTCTTGCCTGGCCCGAACGAATTTATTCCGGCTAATCTGGATGTAGAGAAGCTCCCCGTGGAGCAGGTGAATTCAGATATGTTTATTGATGACATCGCCGGAGACCTGACCGCCAATTTTGCAGCCGCTGAAGCGTCCTTTGCTCATCAGAGAAACTGAAGTATCCAGCCTGTGGCACAAAAAGGATGATCAGTTCTGGATACCCAAGGCACATGTATTGATGGACATCCGCAGGTCCGTTTAACATCTCAGCATCTCATTACTGGTGTTGACCTATGCTTCATTAGTCCTGAGGCGAATAATTCAGCGAGAGCAAGCGTAATGACTCGGTAAGCCATACTATCCGTTCAGTTTGATCAGATGACTCATTCTGCCCAAGACTTTTCTCTGATCTTGTCAACGACTCCCTGACTGAGTTCGCCTATGATGCCGATCTTGCCGGGCTGAAGTACAATTTTTCTCCCCAAATGCTTGGGGTGTCCGTCGTGCTATCTGGCTACAACGACAAGTTGCATGTTCTCGCGAGGGATGTCCTTGAGCGAGTGAAGAATGTGCGACTGAAGGCTGATAGATTGGCAGTCATGAAAGATCAGGTCAGGCTCACCGCGGATCAAGTCGAACTGGTTCACTGACTCATGATTTGGCTGGTAGGCGAAGCGGGACTACGAGAACTTTTTCATGGGGCCGCCGTTCCGTCTGGCTGACTATTACGGTCGACACTTGCTCACTGAACAGCAATGGTTGTTGGCGGAGAAACTAGCAGTTGTCTCTTGTGGGTCATTTGTCTCCGCATTTGAACATGCTGCTTATCTTTCACATTAGCCATAACTCTTGAGGAGATACAAGCTCACGCTGCTCGCCTGCTCTCACGAATCTACATTCGGATGCTAGTTGTTGGCAACATGCGTAAAGATGTAAGCACAGCATGATCATTCCTTTGACACCGACTGATTATTCAACCAGGAGGCAGAGGGATTGGCCGAGATGACGGAGAATATTCTCAATGCATCTTCGTTGAAACCCTCCGATGTAGTTGAAACAGCGCTTATTCCGCATGATGGCACGTCTTATCCCATCAGTATTGGCGCTGAGCTAATGTTGTGTTACAATAGGTTCTAATCACGTCTGGTCAACGGTCGTGCCCAATGCCCAAGACCCTAACTCATCAATCTCATATTATCTCCATATCGGATCCTACTTGGAGCCCCGCTTACGCGTCACTTCTGCCCTGCTTGCTCAGATCCTTTCCGAGCCTGCTTTCAGCGTTCTTCGCACAAGGGAGCAGCTTGGTTACATTGTGTCTCTATCGCAGATGATCTCCGTGGGGGAATCGACCGTTGGGCTGCGCATCGTCATCCAGAGTGAGCGAACCCCCGTTTATCTTGAAGAGCGCGTGGATGCGTTCCTGGAGGAGATGAAGGACAGGCTAGAGGAAATGCCTGACGCAGAGTTCAAGGAACAACAGGCTGGGTTGGAGCGCCGGTGGAGAGAAGCATCGAAGAATCTTGGAGAAGAGACAAACAAGTATTGGACGCACGTAGACTCCGGATATTTAGACTTTTTGCGACGTGAGTTCTTTCTGCCTCTTGGCATAGTTCTAGCTGAATGCTCCCAACCACAGCCGATCAGGACGCTGCTTTAGTCAAGACTATCACTAAGCAAGACGTCATATCCCTCTTCCTGACTCGTGTTCATCCTTCATCAGCCTCGCGGGCAAAGATCTCGACTCATCTGCGATCGCGGAAGCCACGGCCGAAGAAGGTCAGCCTTGCTGCTATGGAAGCTTTTGAAGCTGCTCTGGTAGACAAAGACGTATCCGTCGATGGTCAAAAGTGGAGGGAAGAACTGCTCAATGATCATGGCGAGCCCCTCCTTACGCAATTCGAGAAATATTGGCGGACCATGCTGTCCAGCGAGGAATCTGGCGCTTCACCGGAGACAGTAGAAGGCATCTTCGCTTCTCTTCCAGCGTTGCTGGGGAAATACCCGGCGCAAGCTGATTATGAGGGCAAGCTCAAAGAAGACGTGCGCGTCATTGACGACCTCACGGCATTCAAGGCTACCTTGCGAAGGTCAAATCCTCCACGGCCGTTGGTGTTATGGGATGATCTCAGAATAGCCAAGTTCTGATCTGAAGGAGCATATTCTAACGTTGCGACTGAGGATGATTTCTTTGTATTGATTATTGCTATCTGTACACCTTCTAGCAATCCTTCCGTTATGTTACAAGGCCAATTCATGTCTACATATTAATTATCTACTATACTGGCTCGCAGTACAGGTGTCAGTGTAGTTGTATATATACATGTGGATACCCATAAATTAGAATTAGAAGGCTGCTACGTATGTCCGAAATGAGTTCATTGTGAAGCGTTGTCATAGCACGGAAATCCTGAAAGCAAGAGAACACAAGGAGTTCATGGGGTCATGGAGGATCTAGAGGATAATGCAACACTCTTCGGAATATTTGCCACACGGCGTCGACGTGACGGAGGACGGAAGTGACGGTCTCGCGTGCCCCATCTGGTATAGTAATGTTAGGAAACTTGATGTCTGGTATCTCGAAATGAAGCGTCCAGGGGAATAAGAGGGTGACATCGCGCCTCATCAGTGCATGTTGTTCGGGTGGAGGGTTGAGAGGAGCGGGGGCGGATACTGAGGGCGTGAACGTTGGCAGGTGATAGTCCGTGTCAGTCATATCGAACGTAGCAGTCGTAAGGGATGCGGTCGCAGGTGGCAGGGTGGAAGAAATTTCCAGGGGCGGTACCGCTGAGATGGTCGGTAGTTCGTTTGTCATCGTGGCGCCCGATGGGTGCCACCATTTATGGGGAACAACGGTGGTTATGGTACTTGTCACAGTGACTGTGGCTGGAATGTTGATTACTGTCTCTGTGTTAGGCGAATGGATGCGGCCACTTTCTCGCAATGTGTGCAACTCTCCTGTCTTATGTCGGAGATCGGTTAATAAGGATAAGATGATTAAGACGAATATGGGAATTGCAGCAATTTGAGCTGCTTTCCATATTTTTAGGCTCAGAGGAGGGCGAGAGACACTTGGGGGAGAAACGGATGATATAGACATAGCAAGGCGCGGGTAATGGAACTCTTTAAGAGCGTAGCTCAAGAGTCTACGGCCATGGGATGTGTTCCGTTGGGAGGTCAGATTTGTCTGCAATGTCAAAATTTCAAAACCTAGATCAAATTGTTATCACTGGGGATCTTCACAAGCGAAGATTCCACGAACCATTCTCAAGTTCTATATTGACTCGAAGCTCACCCACAGGTAAAGGGAAACTAGGCAGGAGTACGTCGAACGGCACGTTCTGCCGTTCTTTTTGTTTGCCCTTCCCCTTGGACTTTTCTTGCGATTCAGGCTCGGTCGGTCCTTCCACAATATAAACAATTTCAACCTTGCCTCCGCCAATGTGCCCGACGTGCACGCTAACCCAAGTAATCCATTCTTTGCCACTTGTTTCTTCGAATGGTAGATCAAGTCCGGCGAGCGTAGCATCTTGCTTCACCGTCGCATTGGCCTGAAAGCGCACAGGGACACCTTCTACGCTCGCGCTTGCGATGTTGACTCGCGGCGGGCCATTGGTAATATTCGCACCTTTGCGGATCATGACCTCGGGAGAGTCGGAGACCGGTGCTTCTGGGCTAGGAAGTGCGAGCCCGAACTCGAGCCATTCCGAGTCGGCATCCGAGGGTGCAGGAAGGGTCAGCCGGGCAGCGTACCCATTGTTGTACGGGTTGCTAGTGTCTGGCAGTTGTGTAATTGTCACAACAACCGATGGTATCATGAGGGCGCCGTCCCTCCGCGGTTGAAGTTTGGCAGATGACATCATGGATGTCTCCCGCATTCGAGATGTCGAGGCAAAAGACCGAAAACCATTGGACATCCTTGTGCGATTATGAGACATATCTGCACTATCGTCGCTCAGCTCCCTGTTGCGGTTTATGGGTGGAGAAACGGTGAGTGGCTGCTGTCGAACCGCAATCCGCACCGCGTTCTTCCCGCATGCCATCTGATTTCCTTTTGTCAGTATATTCCTCAGAGTCTTCCCATCCCGCTTGTCTTTCGTCGCATTGTGAACATGGACAGATTGACGCTCACTCTCGTTTCTTATCAACGTTGAAATGCTTTCCTTGTCTGTGTATAACACACGGAAGGTAGGCACAGCGATTGGACCTGATTCGACTTCGCCGTCTGATGAAGGGCGAAGTTGAGGTGAAGGAGTAACGAGAACCGTTCCAGATATACTAAATTCAAAGACATTCTTCGATGGGGGGAGAAGCTCGTTCATATTGAGGTGTACAGTGACGGGCACTTTAGGTAGCCGCACACCTACATCGACATCGACGTCCGTATCAGTTCCCACGGGGGGGTCTTTAACAGAAGATGCCCTCTTCCGACGCATACGTTCTGGGCTGGACGGTGGTCCGAGAGAGGCAAGAGACGACACTGTACCAGTGGGTGTCGTAACAGGAGAACCCTCGAAAGAGTAGTCTGCGACGCTTTGAGCGGGGAGCGGAGCACGAAGGAGAGACATAGAATTTGATGAACCAACGGAGCTATTTGAACTAGTCCTTGATGGAAAATGACCATTCATAGTAGCTCGACCATCCGGTGACGAGGGTAGGATGTATATGGATGGCGCAACCTCCGGAGAAGATCGGCCAGAAATAACGGGCGGAGGCTTTCCAATGGCGAAACCAGTAAACCCTGTGCCGCCCGTTATGGTCCACTTCGGGTCCATCCCGGGTACCCAAGAGATGCTGCAGTCATCAGCTTGAAGACCAACATCCATTCCCAGAAGCGTCGCCACCCCAGGAAACCATACGTTTCTGCAACTTGCAGTATAGTTCAGTCGCATCACTATACCTTTACCAGTTTTATCTATTTCCTTGCCCTTGGCATTATCCAATACAGTGCAAGTCATGTTGCTTTCCACCTCCTTGATTCCAACTTTATGGCGTCCATCCGCAGCTTCTGGGACCTCCCCAGGTTTGACAGGCATCGCCCATCTGACGCGGACACGATCTGCGCTCTGAAAAGTGCCTCGGAGCCCATAGCCCTCGGAGAATCCCGCCGATGTCGATGCGTCACTTGATTCGTCATCCGCAAAATTATTATATGAGTAAGAACGTGCGAGACGGGTTGTCTGAGCCCGAGTGACATGGGGCTCGGATGTAAGGTCCCAAGAAACGGCATCTTCGTCTGCTGACGAAAGCGATGCCAATGAAGATGCTATTGGAGAACCAGGGGAGGGAATACTGAGCTTGATTTGATTGGACAAACAGCGAGGGATGGGAATAGACAGCTGAACGAATATGAGCTTACTCTACCCAAGGATGCGAATTGGTCAAGAACCTACTAGGTACGGCGCCTGAGGTGGTCGGGACACGAAGGGTACCCAGATGTCAACGGCTGCCATGAAATGTATCATAGATGTTCCTCGCCGACTGTGACTTTCGCTCTCTCGACGTGGGAATTCTTTTGGTAGAACATACGAGACATGGTATCCGCTGACAAGAACGTGCCCAGTATATTTATCGTCGAGGGGAGGAATGTTGACTGATGAAGAAACAGGGTCCATAGTAGAGACGTATGATGCATTCAGTCGCGGACGTAGGTTCAATGCACGGGCTGCCTTGTGCAGGAGTGGGGAATTAGCTGACGAGAAGTTGTATGGCGACGAATCGTTGTCGAGCGGGTGGACCTGCGAGTCAAGAATTTTGAGGTTTTCCTCTGCACGGAGTCAACAGGGCATCAACAAGGGTGCAATACATACAAGGCATACCTGGGAATAAAGCAATAGTTGCACCCGGAGTGATGTTGTCTAAAGGAAGTGATATCTAGACTGTTAATGAGTAATCAAAACCCAAGGCATGAAGTAGAAACAAGCCAGACGATCATGTAATTCGGAAAAGAGGATGCATCATTCCAGAATGAGAGTTTGGTTATGTAGTTTCGGGGATAATGATCCTCATAATCATACTTGTCCAAGTAGGGTCACGCGCTTGCAAAATTCTAGCTGACTTACCTTTAAGTACATTTTGATAGCAGCACCGTCCCAGCCCTTCTTCGACTTCCCCTCGATGGCAAGACGCGTTACAACGTTCAGCTTTTGCTGCACCGCTGTTAACGCGTTCGAATAACTTGTACTGGTGAGTGGTGGGCTAGCGGTGCGCGCATGACGCGAAGAGCCGGCCATGGTTATCAGAAAGCGTGATTTGTCGCGTCTTCTGGTTTGCGCAGGAAGATACGCGTGTTGTCGGGTTTCTGGATACAGTTGAGCGCGAAGATGGAGGAAACTGTGCGAGCTGCAGGGTCTGGCATATAGTCGCAGACGGCTTGACTTTGACTTCTCAACGACCAGTGGCGGACTGACTGAGTTCGCTGGACGCCGTGGAGGGTTTTTACACTCAGCTGCGGAGCCTGCCATCAACTGCCATTTCCGAACCATCTCCGCACAATCGGACGTTGAATGAACCAAAACTGGCGCCTACGCTCTGATCTACCTTCAGATTATTGTGCGCTACTTATGATGGTTGCTAGCCATGCTATACGCCTGGAAAACAGTGAAATATACTTTCAGTTTCTGGTGAACAATAAGACTGATGTTGCTCTTCTGAACAGCTTTTCAGCATACGATGACAATTGTGAGCAGGGACTTCTGAAATGCGTAACCTGAATAGCTTGGTGAAGACAACGTCCTAACTCCTCTTTCCTGGATCACGATTAGAACACTTTCTAGTGGGTGCTCTTGCGACCGCAAGGACACATTGCTCTGCGTACTTATATATCTTTGGTGTTCGACTGGGTCAAACCACGGCGCTTGCGTAAGTATGTAGTGCTCACTGGATCAAACCATCACTAGTGGGTTCTAGTTGCCAATCCTGCTCATGGGCAAACCCGCCATTCGCAATGAGATTTAATTTCCCTGTGAATGAATAGAATCCCTCACGGAGAGATCGGATTTCCTTGCAAATGGCAGGACTGCGACTGCCATGCCCCTGCCCTCCTTGCACTGCTGTGCTGCCATCTTGCTCAACAGCAAGACGGCCCCTCCCTCCCTGGTCAGTCCTCCCACACCCTCGTGCCTGCACTAGCTCGCACTACTGCCACGCCCTCCTCACGCCGCCCATGCCTCCCCCCTCCTTATGTTGACAATGCCCCTGCTGATTGCACTTGCCTTCCGGCATTGTAGGCTGGCACCCTGACACAGGCAGAGGCTCAAAGGATCCCATTGCATGACCGTGACCGGATGCTGGTGAGCACGATGGTAGCTGTCAGAGGAAACCTGCGTCGGGCTACAGTCCGGTGGAGTGGCTGTTCTGTTCGACCACGAAGGGTGAGGCGCTGTGCAGGGTATATAGTCTAGCTTGCTGCAGTGAGTCCAGCCAGCTGCCTATCCCTCCTCACAGCCCCCTGTTAACTAGCTCATCACTGCCCCTAATGCATTTACCTAGCACTGTCCCAACTTCGTCAAGACACCTGCCTACCCATCTCCCTCTGTTCTTGTGGCCAGCCTGGGTGTGGACTCTGAGCTTGCGAGTGCTGAATTCAGCTGTGTGCTGAGTCCCAGGCTGATTTCCATCACTGCGCTCCTTCTCATGAGCCTGTGCCTCCTCCCATTTCTCACCGAGATTGACCTGATCAACTGATCAGAGAAGCAGTGTCAGTCCTGCCATGAATCGGCAATTTCACGAAATTACAGTTTTTAAATGACTGCAAGCTGACAGGCATGTTCACGTTGAAATGCACTCATTTACAACTCTCCCGCTCACGAGGGATTCAATATAGCTGTACCATAGGAATTCACAGGATTCCGGACACTGCCCCGATATTATTATTTAAGCTAGTAGTTTCCGGGCTTCCCGGAACAGCAGCAGCGATTCCCTCGCAAGAAACACTCCCCACTCTCTTCATTGAGTGACTTCATGGCCCTTCCGCTGTAACTCGAGTGGGGATTGTTGGCGGCTCCGTCGAACCCTTCTCATCTCAACGCACAAGTAAGCCTTTCCTTTGTAAATATGCGACGAGCTGAAGCACCTCGATTGCTTGGGGTGCAGCTATCGCGAGTGCGAAGTGAGTATATTTGTAGCAAGGGAAGGATCGAAGATGAAATGTGTGTGTAGGGCGCGCATAGTTGTCCGAAAGGGAGTTACGCAAGAGACAGTTAAATCTGTGAATGTAGAATTGGAAAGCGAATGTGATGAGCAGCGGATACTATGCACCCAGCCCTTATAAAATCATGGTAGATACTCCCACGACGAACTCTGGCGGTGCGATACGACGCACGGATTGCGTTTGCCATCAGGAGGCGTCCCGGCATTGTCTTGTTGAAAGCACTTTATGCTTTCTGATCACCTTTACATGTAGCGATAATGGCAGCTTCAAGAGCAGCATGCGGTGAACACGACTGAATCTGCGATATTGCTAGTCTCCACCACGAACTTCAAAACCGAGGATCACATAGAAGAGAATGCTGACGACAGATGTCTCATCGCAAAGCTCAAGACTCCGTCGTTGACAGCTCGAGTACCATAACCGTGATAGCCTCAGCAATAGGTTGATGCCGAGAGAAGAGATGCAGATTACCGCGTGTCCTGTTAGGACGAAAGCTTGTGTGTGTGTGACGCAAAAGGCCTGTGTAGAGCGAACCTGTGGCGAAAGCTGAGCGCTGAGAAGGGCGCGAGACTGTAGCTATTATGCTACTATCTGCATAGCGCTATCGGTGAAGAGTAAAACTTCCACTCAATATGAGATTGAGGGATCTGTAATATTGCACGAATATTCGAATCCTCGTTCTTGCAACGGTAAATTGTGGACGTTCCTTGAATCAATTACCTTAAACCGTAGTGGGTCCCACGTACATGATCACTGCATGGGTGTATGTAGAAAGCGCTGTGTCAGCCCAAGGTATATCAACGATACGACAAGACAATCGCCAAGCCAACTGCAGACGCAAAAAACGATGGAAAATCCGGAATGTGTTGGGAATGTTCAGAGCTATCATATACACAACAATGACATCAGTAGCACGGAATACACAGAAAAGTACACTCCCCAAGGCTGCAGAAATAATGTGACCACCCTTTGCTTCTCAGAATTCTACTCTTGCCACACTCTCTGCCACAACATTGAACGCGTTCAATCTCGATTGTACTAAATTTGTGATATAAGGATCAAATATAATAAACAAAATAAAGGGGCGTACGTGCTGCGAAGTTATCAGACCTCGATGTACTTGGTGGAGGAGGAATGAGGGATTGGTTGTGGCATATCCAGCCTTTTGACGTCGCAACTATGACGGTGATTAGAGTCTAATATAAGAACAACGACCTCTTTGACCTACCCGTCAGTAATTCCTCTGGAGAATAGCCTAGATATGTATGCGCAAGTGACACCGGTAGAGACGTGTACGCTTTAGCCAAGAGCGCGAATGTCTTCGCGCGAAATGCATCTGTAGCAATAATCATATTTTTTGGCATACTGATCTGTACAGCGTGGTCGAAGGGGCACCTACCAACAAATACAGTCACCATGTTGGCTATCAGCGTCGGCAATTCACCACTGGCAGGATCGGTTTGTTGGCATAGATTGAAGAGCTCTTTGGCGCGGATATACACAGAACTGTAGTTTCGCTCCCAGACGGAAGCAAGTAGGCGATATAAACCTTTCGTCACGGGAAGACTTGCTAGAGATTTAGGCAGTCGCGTCAGCGCGTGGCGAGCCGCTGGGCTATGGTAGGGTAATCAATGAGCAAAAGCGGACGTCGCAGTCGCTGGGGAGACACACAGTTGATCCACAATGCAGTATGAGAGCACAAGAGGTGCAGTTATGAAAACTCGTGTCGGATGTTTCTCATTGCCAGGCTGCATAGCTGTGAAGGCGATGCTAACAAGATCGAAATGGCGCGTACGTACAATGATGTCCACTTCCTCTGCGAAATTGATCAGCTCTTGATATTCACTCTTCTCCGCAAGCTCCGCTACCTTGCGGAAGTGGATTTCGTATTGAGTTCTCTGATCCTCGACCACTGTTGCAGGAGCAGGTTCATTCGCGGGAGGCTGGTCGGTTTGGAGTGCCTCTGTAGGAGCGGGTGTCGGTGGCTGCTCCGGTTGTGTTGGCTCAGAGGTACGAGCTTCGTCTTCAATCTCAGCGGGTGTGATGAGAGGGGGAGTCGGGGGCCCTGTCATTGTGCGTAAGTTATGTGGTACAAGTCAGAGACGAATCGAGGCGCAATGGCGCATAGACTCTAATAAGACTCGGTAGACGCGTTCTTGGCACGTGCGCGTCGCGCTATCCAAAGTGATCCATTGCACCGCGCCTGTATTTGACGTCTTGATCAGCTACTATCCCCCGACGCATTGAGACAGACTAGATGGACGAATTTCGCGAAGATGACATTGAAAGCATTCTCTACATTGGCAGAGAAGTCTCAGGTCAGTTGCGTTGCTAGGCACATTTCCGCATGTCACTGACGCAGATCGGGCAGTGTACAAGATCCCACCGCTCAAGAAGAATGAGGGCCACCGCGCACAAGAATGGGGAGATTTAGCGAGTCCTATTTGGAAGGGTCGTCTGCGTATCATCGAGCGATCTGCTGGAGTATTCATCCAATTTGAGGATCCCACCACCGGTGAGTGTGTCCGCATCCTCCATTTGTATCTGCCCAACTCAGGACGAACTTGTCCTTTAACTAACACCAGGTGAATGTACGTCAGCATTTCTCTTGATTCAGAGTGTCATCCTTAGACATGAATATCGCTCTAGTGTTCGCAAAGGCCGACTATGATCCCGCTAAGCCCTGCGTGGAGGCCGTACTCGATTCATCGCGATACTTTGTCGTTCGTGTGGAAGATAATGGCCGAAGAGCCTATATTGGAATGGGCTTCATCGAGCGTACTGATAGTTTTGACTTTAGTGAGTTGTATCGTAGTCAAACGACCCCAATATGAGCTGACTATGTGTAGACGTCACGTTGCAGGATTATACCAAGTAAGTTTGACTTTCAGTAGCTGTGCGCCTTACGTTTTGACCATGGCCGGGATTCCAGACGCTGGCGCGCCCGCATGAATCCTGCGGAAGCCGCAACCGACTCGCCCTCCCCTCATGTTCCGTCTGGCCCAAAGAAAGATTATTCCCTCAAGGATGGTCAGACTTTCTCCATTAACATTCCAGGACGAACAAAAGCACGCATCACGCCGAGTGTGAACTTACTAGGAAGCAGTACAAGCTCATCCTCAGGCGGTCTGGGAGTTCCGCTTCTTCCTCCTCCCCCGAGCGCACTAAGGAAGTAATACTATCTCCGCTGCTCGTGATTTTCCCCTTATGATATCTGTATTATCACTACCCTCACCTAGTATCGAGTCTGGCAACTTTGCTTGACTATGGCAAATCTTCTCTCGTAACCGATCGCGTGACCTGAGTCCGTAGCCGTTGGTCGATCCCCGGGGGAACTGGCTGCAATGAAGCACTCGAGGCATGAAGCTTTCGTTTCCGATCTTGCATAATAGACGTGCTCCAGTGAGGGGAGTGATGAATCAGTTCGAACTCTTTCCGGACGGGTAAGATCACAATTGGATTGAACCACAACTTATTAGGATCACACATTGGAACCAAATGGGTTGTTGAAAGCATGCAGGACAGCGAGGTAACATACCAAACATTGCATTTCATCGACCAGATTTTGTGCGCGCCCAACGGAATTCATCCGTCTCTACGGCTATAAACAGGCTCAATCTGGCCCTCTTTGCTTATCAGCAATTCGGTTATCGGTATCAACAAATGCCATGTTGTCTGCTTCACGCTTTCTCCCGCAACCTAACTCGTCGGCGGCAAGTACTCAAATCTTCATTCGATATCACCGCTGACGTGCTGTGTGGATATCCAGTCTGGCGAGTTCTACATATTCCTCGCCATTGACGCCTGCGCTCTCTGCGTTCTGTGAAGGCGATCAGGTGCATGCAGCATATTATGGTGCACCCTCGTTTCGAGACCTCATCGTGCATTTCGATAATGATCAAGCGTCGAGGACGAACAGGTCTCTTGAAAACAGGTCTCCTGAAACAGCTCGAGTCCAAGTTGGAATGGATTATCGTATCCAGCTAGCCCATCCCATTCGAAAACGCTGACCCAGTGCCCGACCCGCCCCTCGGATAACTGCTGACTTCTCGACGTTTTAGCAGTCTCAGGTAGTTAGTGGACATGTGAAGACACTTGGAGGTAACCATTGCTGGTACGCCTATCTTCGTGATAATACCTCTGTTACCATCGTATAGTTGTATGTCTTATGGCCAGATCTTTCTGATCGAAAATGTATAAGACGTGAGTACATCTCTGACATTTAAGTATGTCCAAAATATCATCTACATCTATCATCGTTGACGAAGACAAGCTAGGCAACACCCTGACGTGGGTGCATCTATACCGCTATCGACACGGCAAAAACCGCTCACATAAGTAAGATCTCTTACTTGCTCTATAACAGACGGCTCACTCACCTTTACTAGGCGATATCCACGTCGTGCCCCTCTTCTTCCCAGGTCGAAGATTCCCGAGTCGAACCGCTACGCAGGCCTTGGTATAAGTCGGCTTGCAGGACGTCCAAGAGGGCAGAAAATTTCTCTTCGACAAGAAGGGGATTCGTGCCTTCAGCATGTATGGGATCTACAATTTGACTATGTTTAGCGGAAGCGAAACCGTCCGACACACCTCAGCTTCGACGTTAACGCGCTTGGCCCGAGCATGGCAGCGTCGACGGAACGCCAGCAGGCCGTGTGCCTTGCATGTCCAAGGCATCAGCTGATGGTGAGGAGCGCAAGTTTGGGAGAGCCCTCCTTCGGAAAGGGCCATTACATCTGTGAAGCCTTTCACGCGATGAGATGTGTTTCGCCCTCTTTTTGCTACCAGAGTGGATGCTGACGCTACCTCGCAGAGGTCAGCCCGCCTCCCGGAAACGAGGCAGAAGTGAACAAGATCGTGGGCTCTTTGGCAAGCCAGTCTTTCTGACCAATCTGGTGTGGCTGGCTCAACCTTCCACAGGATGTGCTTCTGTAAGCGAGAAGCTTGGCGAATTTGGTTCTGTTACAGCCCCCGGATATTGAGGATTCAATTGAAGCCCGCATTATTAATTGCATTGGTTGTGGCTGGTCAGGTTGGCCTTTGTTCTCGACATATCACGGTGAGCGTAGGTGGGATGTTATTTTTTGCGTGCTTCGCTAGAGTGGCTCCCGGCTCGGCAGGCGGTTCCGCAGACGCCTCGTCACCTAGGGTCGCCCGCCGCCGTCTTCTGGCGTCAGATCCGGGTGGCATTTATTCATCTTGCGCTACACGCGTACTGTGGCTTTCGTGTGGAGGGGCAACGGTTGCGACCGTGCTCCCAATTTGGCACGAAGACAAAGGTAATCCTCTGCGATGAGACCGCTGCACAAACAGATGCCTTCGACCTCGAGGCTCGCTGCATGGTGTATGGTGTGGGCTGGACTCTATGGATGCGTGTCGGCCACAGGATGATGGTGTATACCCGAGGATATTTAAGTGGGACTCCGGAGCTGCTGCAGGTTCAGTTTGTTCTCGCAGTCTCTTCCGCTAACGTTTACTTCGCTTACACTTTATTCTTACTCTTCTACCTTGACGAAGATGGCCTTCAACGCTTTCGATGCCGACGCCTCTGACTTGAACATCTTTGGCAACACTAACACTTTCGATGTTAACACATTTAGCAATGCCGACGCGCTGGAACTTAACACCGTTGACAACGCCGATGCAGACCGCTACTTTCGGTTCCTCTTGTCGGATGTCGCATCGGCCGATTTCGGACAGCAGTTGGAGGACTCCAACTATGATGATTCGGTCGTCCATGGTATTCAAATTCCGCCTCTCCCACTAGCCAACTTCGTGCAACAGCCAGAAGATCACAATGGTGCAGCACCGTATGGTCTTCAAACCCTATCTACTCCAACGATACCCTCGTTCGTACCTTATGCGAATCAGCACTTTTCCCCGCCTCCGGTAGAGAGCCTCCTCAGAAATGACGCACACTGGGGGCCGCTATCAAGTTTCGATCCGTCTCCCGCCTTCGGTATCCCAGCGCAACTTAATGTCTCTCCTGTGATCGAGGCTGTGCACAATTCTGTCGACGCAAATCCGAATCAATTCGTACAAAAACCCATCTCAAACGTCTGGAAAGTACAAGTAGCGCCGACAGTAGACGATGCACCCAACGTAGAGAAGCTGACAGGATGGTCCATGATTTTCGTTCAAGAAGGCACGGGAAACTTGAGTTCCATGTTTGTGCCCTCGTCCCCGTCCCCGTGCTCCTCCCCTTCCTCACCATTGGCGTACATTTTTGACTGTTTACCGTCCCCTGATTCTCCCCCCGATTCACCTGATTCTTGCCCCGATTCCTCCTATTCTTCCGACACCTCTTCTACCTCGTCGTCAAGCTCGATCGACGTCACCGCGAGCGATGGGGACCAGTCGAACTTGAAAGCTCTATTTCCTTACCTCAATGAGAGCGAAGGGAAACTCATGAGGAAAATAAGACGCTTCTCTCGCCCAAGGAGCGTGACGTCGCGATATGGGCTCATCCCAGAGGTACGTTACAAGCATCACTTATGATGTAGTATACTCCCCTAACAAATTACACAGTGTTATTGCACCTTATGTAAAGTATGGATAATCGGTGATGAGAGAACAAAAGAGCGGCATTGGTATACTATGGCGCATCAGAGAGTGCTGAACCGGGCATGCAAGAAGCGGGGTGTCCCGTTCAAACCTCTAAAGAAACTGCCATGCCCGCTCGGTTGCGGTGCAGCGTAAGTGCATCTATGTCCATGCTCGCGCTACACACTGAACTTACGTTTTGTACATCAGACTAAGTAGGGATGATGCTTTGAGGCGCCACATGAAGACAAGCTGTTTCATGGCATGATCTGAGAGTCACTATTCTGGCTTGTTTCCTCCCATTTCCCGGTTCTATTATTATTTATTATTTATTACTTATGGCTTTACTCATCGCTTCATCTTGCATATCTAACGCTATCCACTCTATACTTTCTATCTCCTGATTCGTGTTTTTTTGTATCATGATAATTATTGGTCAATGACCGTGGCGCGTCTGTGACGCGTTCTTATAACCTACCACGTGATCGCGTCTTTTGCAACTTCAGAACCAGACTCCGATTAACACAAGCCTTTGTGCGACGCGTCTGGGTGCGAGGCCAGTCTTTTCATCTACCTGTCTCAGTGCCTTAAAATCTCCCTCTCGACGATGGCTCTACACATAACACGCAATTTATATTCTCTGTGCTACGTACGACAAATCTGGACTTTGACTGTACAGCAAGTCTGGAGAGAGACCTCGCTGTCCTTTTTCAAGCTCTTTACTGGCGTATTCTGAATCTATCTCAAATCCAATACTCGTTTCAGACGCGGTAATGGTACAATTCTTCAAATCGTGCTTTGTCTGCTTCCTTTATGTAAAGTTCTATTGAACTCCGAGCAGTCTGGATCGCAAGTCGATGCAGGTTGCATTATATCATTGAACATGCCACAGATATTCCTCTAGTGCTATCCCTGTGTATCCACCCTGATTGGCGGCAATTTTTTAAGTGAAGCTCTGCACACCTACTAGGTCGTTATGGATAACTGCACAAAATAGTGGGGTAAACATTTCTCATGCAACTTCCGAACATTCATCCGGTGTGTATGTGCAAACTTCGTTTGTTGTCTGCTGTGATCGTTAGTCGTTCAACCACAAAGGTTAGCCAAATTTGAAGTACCCCACAAAGCATGCGAAGTCGTCAACAATACAAAGGCAGTGACAAATATATATATAAGCAGGGACTACTATTGGCATCACAGCGGCACCCCAATTCAGAATCTCTGTATCGAGCATACTTCTCCACCCCACAGTGATGATCTGCCTCCCCACCACTTGAACTCACTGCCAAGCTAGCCATACTACACACGCTACTACCTATAGGAATGACTCACGATGACTCCGACTCCGAACACTCCATCGTCTTAGGAAGTCCCAGCGCGTCCCGGAGAAAGTTAGTTCATCAGTACAGCTGTGCCACGGAGGTATGTTGCGAGCTTTGCTTGTAATACATACTATCTTGACAAAGTCACAGTTTTATCGCACCCTGTGTAAAGCATGGATAATCGGCAATGAGAGAACGAAGGAGCGACATTGGTATACTATGGCGCATCAGAGAGTGCTGAACCGGGCGTGCAAGAAGCGGGGTGTCCCGTTCAAACTTCTGAAGAAACTGCCATGCCTGCTCGGTTGCGGTACAACGTAAGTGCATCTACGTCTATGCTCGCGCTACACATTCAACTCGTGTCTCGTATATTAGATGAAGTAGGGATGATGCACCGACGCATCATACAAAGACCGACCGTAGTTACTAAACAACCTCCGCCTCGGCTCGCATTCACGCTTATTTGCTTCCAGTATAAAGTTGATGGAAGGCTTTGTAAGTATGACTGTTAGAAAACAGTGATTACAAGCTGACTTGTTCATTGTGCAGAATATTCCCCACAAAACCTAGTGGTTTGATGAAATGTTGTAAGACTTTGATCAGAGAAGTTTAGGCATCGGAGATGTTCTAATTTCTCCCATGTTGCTCTCTTACTATAATATCCCCCTACTTTACATCCCCATCCAGACCTGCTTGAGCCGTAACTACACTTTTTACAACGAGAGAATGTGGTGTTTTGAGTCTGGTGCTGCGGCAGCTGGAAATTTAATTCATTAGAACCCTGCAAACACGAAACAGCTTGCATACTTGCCTTGCTACTCTCCGGCCACTCAGTCAGAGACAAGAATACTCGAAGCAAGGCCCGAATTCGTTTTGTTGCGTGCAGGCTGCGAGAGCCTGAGTAGGTTGGAGTTGCACATAATCAACCAGCACCGTTGCCTGAGGTGCTCTATAGCCATTTGCTAATCGCTGCTGAGTGCAAGGGAAATCGTATTGCACGCCATCACCGAGAGACGTAGCACCAACTTCCCGATAGTATGCCCATACTCTTTACTGTAAATTTTCAGGCTCAACACAAATTGCATTTGGCTTGGGTGGACATCTCTATTTTGACGACACGGACAACCCAATAGCTATGCTCCCCGTTACACTACTGTGTTGTCGAATTTTATCGGAGAGCACCTTGATCGATCGTACCCGCGCGCCACAGTGGAGTTTGAAAGCTGGCGACGGACTGAGTAGAACTACGCTCAATCTCGACTGTTCGTGTCTTGTCCCGGTTTTTAGCAGCTTGAAGCTCGTTTCTCGCTTACTTGTAGAGTGTACTAAATCAGTTGCCTTTATTGTGCCGACTAACTGCCTTATGATGTTACCATTGGTCGATAGCCGCTGGTGGAGAACAATACATCCCGTCTGTGGCGGGTGCTTGGGCCGCCACACGTTAACTGGCCAGGTTTAAATTGCTCTTACTCGCACTTTACCATCACAATCTCCCTCCCATCATCGTGACATTACTTCATGGCACCTGAGCGCTCTCAAACTCGTCTACGCTCTACTTGGAGAGCATCAGCGCCGACTCGCAACGCAGCTTTCTCGAGGCATTCAAAAGCCTCGTCGTCCGACGATCTCCCAGTGGCATCAAGCTCAAAAGTAATGTGGCGCTGTCGTTATACCCTTCAATTGACTGACCAGTCTCTCGTAGCACTCTGACTCTCCTCCGGATACAAAGGCTCAGCGCCGTACAAGACCTGATCCACCAAAGCCATACGAGCACAAACGGGATGTCCGCCCGCCACCTCTGAATCTGAGCGACCTGGAGTGTGTATGCCGGATAGGTGCGACATGTGCTGTCTCTTGCGGAAGATTGTTCTGTGACACTGCATAGGTACCGGAGGGAATGGACAGGTCTTACTCGTTCGTGTTACCTATGACGTTAAATACGGCAGAAAGCAGAAAACGTCGACTCTACCTTTACAACTGGCGATGAAAGTAACTGGAAAGAGATCGTATCGTTATCGCGAACGTGTAAGTTACCGTCGGCATATTTCACCGCCATCATGCTCAGAGTTACATACGCTGTAGAACTTGAACTTCAAGAAAACAACCGAGTACAATCAGTACTTGCTGCAAGAGCGAAGTGTCGAACGCCGATGGCTTACAGAGCTCCCATGGAACCCATTCATCTGTGGCCTCATCGATACTTTCGATGACAAAGTTAACTTTTACCACCTTCTAGAGCTTTCTCCGTGCCTTTCATTCCACTCGTACCTCAAAAAGAGTGGTGTGCTCTCGACCGAAGATGCGCGTTTCTACTTCTCCAACATTGTCCTCGCGCTCGAATTTCTACATTCGCATGACATTGTTCATCGTGATATAAAACCGGGCAATATGTTGATGGGTGCCGACGGGTACCTCTGCCTCGCAGACTTTGGCTCCGCTGCCCACATTTCGCACCCACACGATTGGACAAGAGCTGGGACAACAGTATATACAGCGCCAGAAATCAATCTCGCAGTTTACACAGCTCCCGAAGCGTTTCCGTTCGTCGACTGGTGGGCTGCTGCAGTTAGTCTGTTTGAGATGGTGACAGGCAATCTAGTAAGACCCTTGCTGCTATTGTGTCCTGCCACTAAATGATCCGTATGCCTATAGCCCTTTGCCGGTAACGAGGACCACGAACTCCTTGACCCGATTCTCAACCATGATATCTCATGGCCTGAGGACATCGACGTAGATCCCGACTTGAAGGATCTAGTGACAAGAATGCTCATTCCTGTGCCTTTTGAACGGTACGGTGGGTTGGTGGTTAAAGACGATCCTTCCACCGTCGGGAAGAATGATGAGGTGCGCATTCACCCTTTCATGCATGGAAAGGTGAAGTGGAAGCGGATTCAAGATCGGAGGGATCTTGTAAGCATTCAAGTTCTCTATATTTCATGAGTTGCGGCATGATTGACTGTTTCTTTGTCTACGTAGGCTCCTTATGTTCCACACCCGTGCCCCGATCTTTCCGAAGGGTTCTATACAGCAGGCGTGCCAAACCAGCGCGAAATACCCGGCCTCCCTGTGGCTTCCACCTCCGTTGAGCAGCAATGGGACGATCGATTTGAACGATTATGTTATGATGGGCCGCCGAACGTGGCCACGGAGTAAAGGTCGAGGCTTGAGTCTCCCTCGTATACCCTTATACCCTAAGTATCAAGTTATTCTTATTTGTGTAAACACCATCGAAATATCCAAATCGCCTCCGTCCTAGATGTATCGTTGTAGGCGAGTTCGGACTTGACTGTGGCTGTAGGTTATACTTAGCATGATCTAATCAAAGTGGCAAGCACCAATAGCAACGCTGAAATCGGGGTCACGTGCATGACGCGTATATAGCGGCCTAGCCCTGCGCGATGGAAATGAACAAGAAACCACTCGGGCGCGTACCGGAGGTCCACGAGGCGACCTACGCGACACACAAGTTGTTTTCTTACACCACCACTTACTCTTGCGTCGAGGAAATTGCACGGTTTAATGATATCCGAGGGCCCATCTGCATCGAAACGTATGAAGCTCGATGCCCCGGGAACATCGGATGTGGAGGGGAATGTAGCGGCGGCACCAGGTCTAGGCGTCGAACCTGACGACCAGGTCGCCGTCGTGACCGCTGTAGTAAGAGTCCTTTTGAAAGTATAATCTCGGACACTCGACACCCTCACTAGGTGGATCCGATCCCCGTCCCAGACGTTGAAAGCGAACGCTGGATCCATCTCCTCTTCACCTGGTCTGGAAAGCCTTTCTCCATAGACGTGGCAGAATCAGACCGGTTAGTGTTACTCTGATGCTGGTGGATCGGTATTCATCAAGATTTAAAACAGTGTTTATGATCTGAAAGGCGCGCTGCAGAGTCTGACGGACGTACCACCAGAACGGCAGAAGATTCTTGGTTTAGTCAAGGGCAAACTCCCACCAGATGAGGAACGGGTGTGAGTCTTGCTAGCTAACGTGAATATTGTGTCACAGAGTGAATACGCTAATTGCAGAGGTAACCTCAACCTCGTGAGCGGCAAAAAGTTCACACTCGTTGGAACGCCACAAGGTCATGAACTCAAGGATCCATCCCGTACGCTCGCTGCTTTCTTGTGCGCCGAAAGATGCTGATGTATATTGATCGGACAGAGCTGGAGTTCCTTCCGGACGTATTGAACGATCTGGACGTAGACTTTTCTGAGAACCCCGCTGCTGCACAGGAATACATGAACGATCAGAGAAACAAGCGAAAGGTCAAAGAACATACACAGAAATTGCAACTCAATATCATCAATCCGCTTAGAGAGAACAAGCGACTCTTGGTTCTAGATCTGGATTATAGTGAGCGCTCTCGCGACTTATTGGCGTCACGTATTGCTTATTGGTTGCCCTCATGGAGCGCAGCTATCCTAGACACGAAACCACTCACGTCTGGTGCGCTCCCGCCCAACGAATGTGCTCGGCCAATGCTACATGAATTTCTGGAAGCGATCTACCCTTACTATGATATCTGTATATGGTACGTCCTCGAAGCGCACATCTCTAGCATCCCTGTAGGAGAATATATGACAGGTCGCAGACCAATTGGATGTGGCTCGAGACGAAGCTAGTAGAATTAGGTATGCTTGGAGGTGGTCGGAATTATCAGGTCAGTGAGCATCGAAGCGATCGCTGTCACCACATGTTAAAAGGATAATCACTCTTATTAGATATCGTTCGGTATGTCATTCCATCTTGTTGTGGACGGCATTGTATAATAGAACTTGCGAAGTCTTAGACAAGACGTGCATGTTCACTGTGTTCTCAAAACGAGAAGGCAAGCAATATAAGCACTCGGTCAAGGCCCTGCAGATCATCTGGAATCATCTTCCTCAGTTGTAATACCGGATTGTTTATGATAACTGTCTCATCGGCATTCATGACGTTTTATGTTTACAGCAATGCTAACAACACGATTCATGTGGATGATCTGGTACGCCATAGTTCGTTTAATTCGGGCGCAACTTGATCCTGTCGCAGGGTCGCAATTTTGCCCTGAACCCTGGAGAGGGCCTGAAAATCCCCGCATTCAAAGAGGCACATACACCACAAGCCATGATGGATCGCGAGTTGGACCGACTTGCACGGTATATGGTTCACATTGCCAACACATGCGCAGACTTCCGCCAGGTTGACCATAAGGTGACAGTCACAATTGTAGGTCAACAACCGATTTGCTGAACTAACCTCTTAGGACTGGCATGCTATCGAGCAAGGCCTTCCCTGAGTATCGATCACGATTGCTTTATGCATGGCACAGATGTAATGTTTGTAGTGATAGTGCTACTAGACGCAGCTTCTCTTGGTTTTATCATGTCGGTTCTGTGCTCGATTAACCTCGCAGTACTATCCTGGACTTTGGTCACTGTATTTGTATATTATCTTCGAGACCGCGATATTACCTTCGCTGAAGATTGAAACACGAGTCGGTGTCCGGCCCGCTCCGTTGACCATAACCGAGATTGCGGAGACAGCTTCAGCGGTGAGACTAATATGAGATTGCCATTCTCCTCTCTCGCCTTCCCTCGTCAGGCGGTGCAGAGACTGCGACTTTTCGGCATATGCGCCAGCAGCGGGTGTGGATTTCAAGTTGTTAGTCGACAAAGAGACATTTCCTTCGGGGCGCCCATGTCGAGGAGACTCACGCACGGCATGGCAGAAACGCAGCCCACTCCTCCACGACTGTCGTCTAGCATTGTCATTGTTGATGGAAACAACGAGATATTACTCGTCCAGAGGAACCCCAAGTCGCAGTCATACGCTGGCACTCATGTGTGTATCTCCTCCGTCGAATTATGCACTCAATGACAAATACGTTTCAGGTGTTCCCAGGTGGAAACTATGATCTAACACAGGACGAATCCATTCAGATGACTGGAATTCGGGAGGTCTTCGAGGAGACGGGCCTGCTCCTCGCCTCGCCGGCGCCGGGTCGAGCACTTCCATCCGACAACGAGCTCGACGAGGCTCGAGAGGCCGTCCACGCGCAGAAACGCCTCTTTCGGGACTTCCTTGCGCAGTCTGGTTTCACTGCAGACGTATCCTCCCTCCTGCCAATGACCCAATGGGTCACACCCCCCACAGTGCGAAGGTATTCCTCCGAGTCTCATTCAGAGCGACTCACCGCCATTCTGATCCCAATCCGCATAGGCGGGTGCCC